TCAAAAATATGACATCAAAGCCACCGATAAAACGGATCATAAACTCGAATATGAATTCCAATTCTCTATTACACCGAAACACAATCCCGTCTTTTGTTTCGCCAAAAGACTTTATAATTAAATATTAGTTTTTTATTGTACCACATAATGTGGTATTGTTACCATTTTATTGTTACCATGTTATTGTTACCACATGGTAATACATTTTAATAATTTATGTGATATAATATATTATAATAAATCCAATACAATATACTCAATATTTTATTAATAATTATTGTGTATTAACTGTAATGTAATATCATTTTAAGGCTCTGTATCGGTCTCGCCATCACCACCTGATTCAGAAGTATTGTCATTAATGTCGACCGCATTAATACATTTGCCATCATTACAGCCATCAGGACAGGCATCACGAGCTCTGACGGCGTTATTAGTATAACGACATCTGAATAGCACATTAGGTGGACAGTCATCCCCTTCCAACTGATTGCCACAATGAGGGCCCCGACCCATGCCTTGCCGACAGTGACACTTAAGTGCCCGCAAACACGAGTTTCCTATATATTTGACATTTTATACAAACATTGAGATTATATGAAAGCTTTAATATAAACAAAGCTTTTATAAAGCTTTTAAAGCTTTTATATTAAGCTTTAATTTGTCAAATAATAGCTGAAACACTCACTCCTTCTGGTTCTTGAGGACAAAGAGGTCTGGTTTTGATCGCATTCCGACTCTTCGCTACATTTGGCCAAAAGAACTGCTGTTTTGTTGCGATTATTTCGTCCGCAGAAATAAATACTTTTCTCGCAATCATTGTTTCCATTCCTTCGGTTCAGTTCTGTGAGCTCTGACGGCGTTATTAGTATAACGACATCTGAATAGCACATTAGGTGGACAGTCATCCCCTTCCAACTGATTGCCACAATGAGGGCCCCGACCCATGCCTTGCCGACAGTGACACTTAAGTGCTCGCAAACACGAGTTTCCTTTAAATGAAATATATTTCACATTTTATACAAACATTGAGATTATATTAATTTGTCTAATAATAGCTGAAACACTCACTCCTTCTGGTTCTTGAGGACAAAGGCGTCTGATTTTGATCGCATTCCGACTCTTCGCTACATTTGGCCAAAAGAACTGCTGTTTTGTTGCGATTATTTCGTCCGCAGAAATAAATACTTTTCTCGCAATCATTGTTTCCATTCCTTCGGTTCAGTTCTGATCCGCAATATTCTCCTCGAAGTCTGACATTACATAAGCACTCCTCATATGAATTGCCAAATAATGTGACAAATATTACAATCAATATATTCAGTGAAAGTAATTTTGAATTCATTTTAGAGATACAATACTTTAAAAGACTTTCAAAATATATAATCAAATAAACAAATAATAAAATACAATAAGATTTTCTTTATATACCATTCATTGTTGTATTCTTCGAATGAATTACAAGAAAATATTTAAAAATCTTAATTTGATTTGTTGTGAAGAGAAATAAAAATAAAAATAATAATTATAAACAATTCAATGCCATACACATAATTAACTTGGTTTTGGAGTTCAGTCATGTATTAAAAAATCAATTTTATTTTATTGATTTCTTATGAATTATGAATTTTTTAGTTTTATAAACAATATTTATTT